CCATTATCTTAATTTTTATAACGAACAAATCGATAAAAATCGATAACAAATTCGATAAATATCGATAATAAAATCGATAAATATCGATAACAAAATCGATAAATATCAAAAACAAAATCGGTAAATAACGACAACAAAATCGATAACAAAATCGATAAATATCGATAACAAAATCGAAAAAATTTCGATATTAAAATCGATAAATATCGATAACAAAATCGATAAATATCGTTAACAAAATCGATAAATATCGATAACAAAATCGATAAATATCGAAAACGAAATCGATAAATATAGATAACAAAATCGATAAAATATCAATAAATATCGGTAACAAGCTCGATAAAAATCGATAACAAAATCGATAAATATCGATAACAAAATAGTTAAAATTATTGATTAAAAAATCGATAACAATATCGATAAAATTATGGATTATTATATCGATATGTTCCGAAAATTTCGATAGGAAAATTGATATATTGATAAAATTTCGATAACAAAATCGATAAAAATATCGACAACAAAACCTATAAAGATATCGATTATTTTATCGATAAGTCTCGTGAATCCCGAAAATTTCTAAAATCCCAAGAAAGTTTCCAGATTGAGTCTCGGTGTCTCCCTCTATATCCTTTCCTCTTTAATTACCTTTATTTTAATCTTTCTTCCCCTATCTTCGTCTTTACTTTTATCGGTATAGTCATCCTCATCTTTGTTTTTACTTTTATGTTTATCATTTTCTTCAGCTACATATTCCCCTTCACCTTTGCCCTTATATATATAAGTAAAGTGTTTAAATTTACCTTGGTCTCCATTTTTGCCTTTATCTTAACGCATCTTTGTTTTTGTTTTTATACCCGAGCGCACTTGTGCACAAGGGTATTATAACTTTGTTCACATAACGGTTGTTTGTAACAGGCAAAACGAATCGAGATAGATATAGACAAATGTATACATAAATGATCAGAATGAAAAGAGAAATCGATTAAGCGGTGACTGTCTGTCCGTCCGTCCGTCCGTCCGTCCGTCCGTCTGTGCACACGATAACTCGAGTAAAAATTGAGATATCTTAACGAAACTTGGTACGTGAACTTCTTTTGGGCGTGGGACGGATGGTATTGAAAATGGGCGAAATCGGATAATAACCACGCCTACCTCCCATATAACGGTAATTTTAAGAAATACGAAAACTGCGATATTTTAGTAACTACTGAAGATAATTCACTCAAAATTGATACTTACAATGAGTTTCAGACGGAAAACATGAATATTATAAATTTTTGGAAAATGGGCGTAGCCACGCCCACTTATGGTTACATGTGTATATCTTGGTAACGGCTGCACCAATTTCTTCCAAACTTGGCACAGTTGTTGGCCTTAGGACAGCATACTAAATGGCTGAAAATTTTAAAAATCGGACAATAACCACGCCTACCTCCCATATAACGGTAATTTTCAGAAAAACGAAAACTGCGATATTTTAGTAACTACTGAAGATAATTCACTCAAAATTGATATTTGCAATGAGTTTTAGACGAAAAATGAGAATATTACAAAATTTTGGCAAACGGGCGTAGCCACGCCCACTTATGGTTACATGTGTATATCTTGGTAGCCGCTACACCAATGTCTTCCAAACTTGGCACAGTTGTTGGTCCTGGTACAGCATACCAAATGGCCGAAAATTTCTAAAATCGGACAATAACCACGCCCATATCCCATATAACGGTATTTTCGAGAAATACAAAATCTTCGATAAATCAGTAAATATTGAAGCTAATTTATTCAAAATTGATGGTTGCAACAATTCTTTACCAAGAAATACGTTTATGACAAAATTTTGGAAAATGGGCGTAGCACCGCCCACTTGTGATCACATATATGTATCTCGCTAACCGTTCTAGCAATTTGTACCAAGCTCGGTATGGTTATTGTGCTTGCCACATAAAAGCAAACCGTTGAAAATTGTTGAAATCGGACTAAAATTGAGGCCGCTTTTCATATAACGGTAAATTTCAGAAATGCTTGAAATTTCAATATTTCGAAATTTAAGGACGCTAATTTACTTAAAATGTATACACCCCGGCTTATCATGTAGCGGTAGCTTTCGGAAAGGGCGAAAACATATATTTAATACTTGCGCCGGGTATTTAATGTTCGGCTCCGCCCGAACTTAGACTTTCTTACTTGTTATTTTTACCTTTGCCTTGATCCTCTTCTTTATCTATGTACGTACTCACCTTTGCTTTCATGCTTGTATTGGTCCTTTTCTAAGTGTTATTCTTTAACCTTTTATTAGCAAATTTTTGTTAAATTAATACCATACGAACACACACAAGAAGCACTTGTTTCAGCCCCAACCATTTCCGTTGCACCATTTCCGTTGCATTATTTCCGTGTGCAATTTAAGCTGAATTTGCACATTTACTCGCAACCACCCACTCCGCCGCTAAAGAAGTTTCACTTCAAAAACACAAAAGGCAGGCGACATGAAAAAAATTGTAAATATTAAAAAAAAATCACCAAGCACTTTTTGAGTCACTGTGTTTGTCTATAACAACTTCTGTTAAAGTGTTTTCAAATTACGAAGTTTCGTTGATGCTTTTAGTCTCATCACTTTCGCTTTTGGTTGTAAAAAACCCAGAATGTGCCATTAACATGATCTCAAATATCATATCTTTAGTTAAATAAAAAGTTCCTTATTCAAAAATTTTAATTTTTATTGAGCTAACTAAAAAATAGAGAAAAACTGTAGTTTTTATTCAAATAACCAAAAAAGTTATTGTAAGGTATTTTCCAGATTTGGTAAATTTTTCTCCAGGGGATGGTAAGTATTTTTTTTGTCAGGCTGTCAGGCCATCTAATCAAATAACTTAATCCACGTGCCGCTTATTTCCGTACATAAATACATACATATGTACATATGTACATAAGGACGGTCCAAAAATGTAGGGGAGAATTAACTTTTTGTAATTTTCCCGCCGCAATCTAACAGAACTGAACAATATCGAATATAAGTAGACCCTTTGTTTTTTTTTTTTTATTTGGGTGGGGCTTTGAAGCTTTCCATATATTTTACCTGGGAGGAAAAAAAAAAATTTTCGTAGAGTTACTATAAAATCGTTAAGAACAAATGTCTTTTGATCGAATAAGAATATTACTCTTCAGAAAAAAAGAAAAAAATAAAATTATGACGCACACTTATTTACCTTAAAAACTAAAAAAAAAAAACCATTTTTGTCATAACGTGCTTGATGTTTCTTGTACATAAAAGATACGATTATCAGTTATGAAAAAGTAGATAGTAAAATTTTGAAGTTAAATATTCAACATACTTTACGTTTTTGAAAATTTCGTAAAGGAAATATTCTTATTCTATCAACAAGTATTTCTTTTTTAACGATTTTATAGCAATTCTACAAAAAAATGTATTTTCCTCAAGTATGCAAAGTATATACTAGAAACTTCAAGTTCCGGCGGAACAGATAAATACACTGGATCACAATTAATATTTTTTTTTTGTGCACCATATGCCACTATCCAGATCCTATTTAGAATCGCTCGCTGATTCCGAAAATAGAGGTTAATAAATTTGTTCTATGGACAATTTTTCAAGATATTTTCAATGTACCGTTATTCAGCTAAATAAATTGTGTCACGTGACTTACGTATATCTTATGAATCTCTGTGAACGGTTAATACATCACTTTGCGCTAGGCTTAGTAGTTTATGAGAAATTGATTAATCATTACAGATTTTTATTTATTTTTTAATGAAAAAAATTCAATCTCTTAAAGGGATCAAAGCCTTTTTTTACAAAAAATATCAAGCTACTAACGAAGTAATAATTAAAAAAGTTATAAATGCTCAAATGCAATTTCGCAATGATTCTTTAGTATGAAATATGAGCGGGAAAGAATGCTACTCATACATAGTATATGGCTGAAAAAAGTAACGCTGGACCATCCTAATGTACATGCATGTACTTGTAGAAATATGTGTCTTATGGCGTTTACTTTTCTCGAAAAAATTTCACCTTCTTTTCATTTTAAATAAAGCGCTATTAGATAGCGGTAGTTAGTTACTGTGATGTGTATTAAAAATTCGTATTGAAAAATTGAGGGGAAACCCTACTTCCAGGCAAAAGCGCTATGTAAACAACTATCTTCACATTCCTCGTGAATGTTACTTGTTTTTTCAGGTGCTACACAATATACAACAATTGGCGAACGTTAGAAAGCTGAAGATCGTCTACACTTGCGAGTTAGGGCATATAACGGGTGATTTTTTAAGAGCTTGATACCTTTTTTTTAAAAAAAAACGCATAAAATTTGCAAAATCTCATCGGTTCTTTATTTGAAACGTTAGATTGGTCCATGACATTTACTTTTTGAAGATAATTTCATTTAAATGTTGACCGCGGCTGCGTCTTAGGTGGTCCATTCGGAAAGTCCAATTTTGGGCAACTTTTTCGAGCATTTCGGCCGGAATAGCCCGAATTTCTTCGGAAATGTTGTCTTCCAAAGCTGGAATAGTTGCTGGCTTATTTCTGTAGACTTTAGACTTGACGTAGCCCCACAAAAAATAGTCTAAAGGCGTCAAATCGCATGATTTTGCTTATTTACGAAGCCATTCAACCAGAAATGAGCCTCATCGCTGAACAAAATTTGTCGATAAAAAAGCGGATTTTCTGCCAACTTTTCACACATTCAACACATTTCGAACCGAACACTGATTTTGGTAATAAAATTCAATGATTTGCAAGCGTTGCTCGTTAGTAAGTCTATTCATGATGAAATGTCAAAGCATACTGAGCATCTTTCTCTTTGACACCATGTCTGAAATCCCACGTGATCTGTCAAATACTAATGCATGAAAATCCTAACCTCAAAAAAATCACCCATTATAAGTACGCGAAAGCTCAAGTAGGCCACAGTTGAAGCTCACGCACCCACCAAACTTTCCATCACAAAATATTAATTTTGTCTTCTCCAAACATGGCCAACAAGTTCGTTTGCTGTTTATTGCTGTTGATCGCAGCAACAAGTACCAATGCTGCTAGCATTGAGACCAGTGTACCCACCAACAGTAGCGCTCACTCATACCTCGTCTCAATACAGGGTACTGGTGGAAACCCCATTTGTGCTGGTGTTTTGATTAAAAAGAATATCGTTGTTACTGCTGCCACTTGTATAAATTTCTATGATCCTACTCAATTGGAAGTAGCTGTAAAAAATGGAACTCAGATCATAAAAATTGCTGCGTACACCTTTAATCCTAATTTCGACTTCACCACCATGGATTCTGATGTGGCTGTCATAAAATTAGCAGAATCCGTAGATGCACAGTACGTAACATTAGCTAGCAAACAACGGCCTACTGGTGCTAGTGGCGTACTCATCGGTCTGTATTCTAACAAGACTGTGGTTGATGCTGATGAAACTATCCTAACCGCTAAGGATTGTGTTTCTGGAAAATATATTTACGAAGATGGTGATCTCACTGACACAATGTTTTGTGGTCTGGCTAATGACGATGCATGCAATTTTATTCCTGGAAGCCCCTTGCTGTCTCACAATCATTTGGTTGGTTTGGCTTCTTGGGGTTATGGTTGTGGCAATCAAGGTGGTCCAGCTGTTTACACAGACGTTCCATCCTTGATTTCATGGATTAAAAGCACTGAAAAGAGTTTGTGAAGCGGAAGTAAAGCACAATACTTAATATGAGTATACTATGTACATAGAATACGAAGAAAGATTATCCACAAAATTACTGTATGCAGTTAAAAAAAATAAAATAAAGTACAAGGTATTAAATATTATATGTACATACTTACGTTTGGTTCGATTGTGACCCTAATACCATGTCCCCACCGGAGCTAACCACGTAGTTATGGCTATTGAGTTGGTTATCCCGATAACCCACTTGATTTAGCGTAGTTTCGCCATATAAAAATGACAGCACTTAACCATTTCACTGAGACGGTTAAAAGCTAACCAACTCGAAACCACGTCGAAAGTCTGATACAACCCTGTGTTTTCCCGCCATCTGTGGGCCATTAGCGTTGAAATGTAAAGAATTCGTTCCCTACTAGTGTTTGGACTCAACTAAAATCAGATTAGATTTACTCCGGTTTTAAAAAAAAATTTAAATCTACTCCTCTACTCCGCTGGACTTCAAATCTATTCCGTTTTTTTCGTTCATGTTATGCCCCTCTTGGGGCCGTTTTTTGAGTGTTCACCACCGGTTTCAGTAAAAAAATTGAAAAGTAGCCAAATCTCACTGTTAAAAAGTAACTCTTTCATAGCAATGCGTCAATAAATTAACTTCGTTATTTTTGGTGCAATTTTGGTGGATAAGGACGAATGGGTATGGAAAATGTTCTTTACAAATTTTGTTTTTAAATATCCTTGAAAATTAGCAATATCTTTTTTTTTTAATTATTATTTGAGGACTAATATACGCACGACCTCATCATCCTCCTTTCGTCCTGCAAATTTTATTAACTTTAAAAGATAAAATTTATTAAAAGCGCATTTTGAATACCTATTCGTCCTTGTAAAATAAAAAAAAAAAACTTTACTATTCTTAAATTCTACAGAATTCTCTCTCTCTCATTTGGTACCCATATTGTTATTCTACATTGCACTTAATTTTAAAAGAATTTTTTTGAAGTAATTGTATCTTTAAAATTTCAAAGTCCTTTGAAAAAAATCCTGACGTCAGAGAAAAAAACTAAAAACGCACTTTTATTATATTTGGCCCATAGTGTCGTAAGTACATATATTGTTTCTTTCGTGTGTTTTGATTTTTTTTTTGTTTTTGTCGCACTGTGTAATAAGTAAATCTGTGTTTTCCTTTTTCCTAGAAATGTTTTCGTTTTGTATATTTTTTATATACATACGTCGCTGTTGGTACCTCTTTTAAGAGACCAACAGTAGTTGGAGAGCATACAAATTTTGCTTCTTTGCCATCTTTAGAATTTCCTGTTGAAATCGTTCTCCTTGTTCATCGCTCATCTGGCCTAAATTTGATGGAAACATTTTCAAATGAGCATGCAGATGGTGCAATTTAATGGACATATGGCAACCCATGGCATGGTAGGCAAACAGTATGTCACTTACTGTATCTTCATAATGTTCAGTCTTTTTGTTTCCAAGAAAACTTTCACACACAGATGAAAAACATTTCCATGTATCTTTTTTCTAAAGACAACATTTGTTGTAAAAAATTTCAGTCCCAACCGACAAAAATACCAGTTAAACAGAAAATTTAAATTTCTTTTCGATCATCTGAAAATACCCTTTTACTTTCTTTCAATTTCGCATAAGTTATTCGTGGTAGACATTTTGCAAGATATTTGAATGTTGGACCATTTTTGTCAAGTGCTTTCACAAATTGCTTTATTAAACCCAGTTTAATATGCATCGGTGGAAAAATAATGTCCGTTAGATTAAATAAAAGAATATTTATACTATTCCTTTCACCAACTACAAATGACGTACGTAGTGTAGGCTGGTTGCTCGACTGTCCCATTCACAAAAATGGCATGGATATGTTGTGTTACCACCCTGCGTGCCATTAAAAATTGTCAGTACTTTGAAATCTGCTACAATTAGCTACTTATAATCTATGACATTTAGTACTTCAGCTATATTCAGCCCTATCAAAGAATCCATCGTAGAGAATCTACAAATGCGGATGTCCGCTACGAATACAAAAACTTGCTATCACTGAATCCGAGTGAAATCGAAAACAGTGCTGCCAAATTAAAATTTCGAAGTACGAAGCTTCGCAATCAGCTGGCTGAAAGTAAACAAGGATAGTAAAAACCAAGATATCGACTACTGCGTTCTAAACCCACCCTCGACAGCCTCTTTAAGACGAGCATCTCGTCAAGGAGAGAGTGGTAAACACCAAGACCATAGAGAAGGGAGGAAATTCTCTTTTCTGTTCTCTTTTGTGGGTTATTTTTTCTTTTAAATAATAATAGTTATTTTGGGATACTTTCAAAGTGGAGTTGCTTATTTTCGTACCATGGCCGTACTCGGGCATGGTCGTACATGACGTATGAGTAACATTTTGCAGTGAAAGTTGGAATTTTTTTCATTCACAATGCAAATTTAAAACGAAAATATCTCGGAAAAATGACCTGATCTAGAAAAACGAAGTAGATGCGTAAGCTACGGCCAAAATTAAGTTTACTTGTCTCGGCGTTTTTTGTGTAATTTTAGCAACCCCACCGTGTAACTGCCACATTTAAAAAATATTTTAATAAAAAGCCGCCAAAACTCTGTTTTAACTCACTCGTTGTTTTATCAGATCGAAGCATTATTAAACACTTTGTGAATTGGCTTTTTGCTATGCATAATACCGTAAGCAAGTTTCCAGCTGTTGAAGGCTTAATACGCCCCACAATGCAAATACCCCGAGCCAGCGAATGCTATAAAGCCCATCTAACTAGAAAAGGCCGACTCATCGGTAAGTCCACGTGCTGTTTATTTCCATATGTACTACATATGTATGTTTGTAGTGTACTATATCATAGTGTAATAAACAAAGTGAAATCAATATATGACATATTTACTTTCGATACGTTTATTTGACAACAGTTTTGTCATTGCATTAACCCATTTGCATAAATGTATTTTACATGGGAAAAACAATTTTTTCATAGATTTGCTATAAAATCGTTAAAAACGAAAATTCTTTAATCGAATAACAATATTTCTATTCAGAAATTTTCGAAAGAGAAAATTATGATAGATATTTAGCTTAAAACTTTTACTAACATTTTTTTCATAATGTGCGTGATGCTATTCGATGAAAACATACTTATTTCTAACGACTTTAAAGCAATTCTACGAAAAAATGTATTTTCCTGGCGGCGCAATTAATTTTTGTGCACCGGATGCCACTATCCAGATCCTATCTAGAATCGCTCGCTGATTCCGAAAGTCTAGGCTGATTATTTTTTTCTATGGACATTACAGATTTTTTCTTTTTTTTTTAATGAAAAATTAAAAAAAACAGTTACTAACAGAGGAAAAATTAAAAAATAACATATTTTTTTGTAAATTTTTTTATTTGTATTAAAGCAAGTTTTTTCATAAAAAATATCAAGCTACTAACGAAGTAATAAGTAAAAAAGTTGTAAATGCTCAAATGAAAATGCGCAATGGAGTTTTAGTTTGAAATATGAGCAGCAAAGAATGTTACTCATGCATACATGGACCACCCTAATGTACACATATCCACTTGTGGATATACATATATGCGTTAGATAACGGTAGTTATTGTGATGCGGTTTTTAAAATTTTTATTTGAAAATCCAGATACATACGCTATTCAATCAACTTTTTTCACATTCCTCGTGAATGTTACTTGCTTTTTTTTTCAAGTGTTACACAATATACGATAACTTGCGAGTTAGGGTATAAATAAGTATGCGAAAGCTCGAGTAGGTTACAGTTGAAGCTCAAGCGCCAAACTTTCCATCAGAAATTACATATTAAATTTGTTTTCTCTCAACATGGTTAACAAGTTCGTTTGCTGTCTATTGCTGTTGATCGCAGCAACAAGTACCAATGCTGCTAGCACCACCACCAACAGTAGCGCACACTCATACCTCGTTTCAATACTGGGTGAATATGGATACCCCATTTGCGCTGGTGTTTTGGTTAAAAAGAATATTGTCGTTACTGCCGCAAGTTGTTTAAAATTCTACAATCCTGATAAATTGGTTGTAGTTGTAAAAAATGGCACTCAGATCATACAAATTGCTGCATACACCTTTAATCGTAATTTCGACTTCTTCACCATGGAGTCTGATGTGGCTGTCATAAAACTAGCAGAATCCGTAGATGCACAGTACATAACATTAGCTAGCAAACAACGGCCTACTGGTGCTAGTGGCGTACTCATCGGTTGGTATTCATCTAACTATGCGGTTGAGGTTGATGAAACTATCATAAGCGCTGAGGACTGCGTTTCTGGAAAATACAACTTCAAAAACGGTGATCTGTTTGATACAATGCTGTGTGGTCTTGCTCAACCCGGTGCTTGCGGTTTTCTTCCTGGAAGCCCCTTGCTGTCTCACAATCATTTGGTTGGTTTGGCTTCCTGGGGTAATGGTTGTGGCAATAAAGGATTTCCAGCTGTTTATACAGACATTGCATCCTTCATTTCATGGATTAAAAGCACTGAAAAGAGTTTGTGAAGCAGAAGTAAAGCAGAATACTTAATATGAGTATATGTACATTAGGGTGGTCCTTAAAAATGTAGGAAGCAAATTTTTACATCAGATTTCCTAAGCCTCAACCCCTACGTCAATGCTAATTTACATACAAAAATGGTCCCAATTAGAGACGGTTAAGGCGTGTCGCACAGGGGTCAAAATTCAGATTACCCTTAACCGACTCCAATCGGGACCAAAATTTATATGGCATGTCCTCGACATTAGTAGTATGGATTTTTGGTATTAAATGAAAAAAAGAAAATATTTTTAATTTTTTGAGTCCATAGAGCCATCTGGCCCTTGACCCCTTTGCGACACGCCTTAATCGACTTAAATCGGGACCAAAATCTTTATGTGCTATTTTCGTCTATAGTAGTATCGATTTTGGGTATTAGATGAAAAAAAAAATAATTTTAATTTTTCGGGCCTCTATAGAAGAATCTGTACTTTGCCCCCTGAGCGACAATGAGCCTTAATCGTCTCCAATCGGGATCAAAGTTTATATGTGATATCTGTGACCGTTGTATCGCCGATTGAGGTGGTGATATTGAAAAAACCCTTAATTTGATTTTTTAAGGACCACCCTAATGAAAATAAAATACGAGCAAAATATTATCCACAGTTGTAGTTTCCCCGATAAAGGCGGATTCATCTTTCTAGTTCTGAACCACATGGAAGAAAAGTTCTGAACTAAACCGATGAATTCGCCTGAATTTTAATAAAACAAAATTACTGTATACAATTAAAAAGAAGAAATAAGTGCCATTTATTATTTTACGTACGTTACGGTTAGATTGTGACATGGAACCACGCATAGGTGGTAAACGAACTTTTCCATTGGCCACAGTGCCTACCCACCTTTTTTGAACCAATATATAGTTTTTTTTTATATAAATACATACAGGCAAACATACTGGTCTCCCCTCTCACTGAGTTATACAGAGAAGGAAAGTTCAGAACCAGAACAATGAATCCACTAGAAGAGTTCCTTTAAAAATGTTTGTACGATTTATGTGTCACTTGATCGATTACCACTGGCTAGCGATCTTGGAGAGGTTCACTAACGGTATTTGGCACTTGGCGTGTTCTTGAGGGGGTTGATGGAATCGCCCACATTTCAACGTTTTTTAACTGGCGGCAACAGCAGTTTTAGGGCCTGAAACCAACTATGCTCAGACTATAGTAGTTAAACCCCAACAGTATTCTTCTTCATCTAGTCAAATTAACTATTTTATTAAGGGTTAAACTTTTCTCTAATCGGCGAAAACGTCTATTGTTTTATCAAACATTATGTGTTTACTCTTCCATTCAATCCGCAGATGATTTTTATTTTCCGCCATCTCCAGTAAAATCCGCTGCTTCACTGTAGTTTTGTGGGACTTTTTAGTCCTCTGACAATTTTTTCAAAACTTCGTCAAAAAGAACCATTCTAGTAGAAGTGAAAAAGTTAAAATTTTCTCCTGAGTCCTGCAAATCAAGCTTTACATTCCTCTGGGACAGGCCCTGCGCCATTCAGAATGATTGACCATGTTACAAGAAATTGTCAAAAATTGTAAAAAATCTTTGCAAAAGTTGTATTTTTTTTAAAGCGCCATTCTTAGTAGGCACTTAAATATATTCCAGCTCTCGAATTTTTTTGGCAGAAGTCCACGTCATTCATTATTCCTTAAGAAGACACAAGCAGGCGATTCGGTTTAGATTAAATGATTTGCGATTTTTTAATAATCTAATAATTTTATCCTAACATTGGCATATTTGCTCCCCTTTTTACTACTTTTAAAACGCATGCCACAATTAAGGTGGTCTACCTTTGGGCCATCACCTATATACTTAAATACATATGTTTCCACTATGATTAAAACTACTAAATAGTATATTTTCATTTACTTTATTGGAATTTTACCAACTCTCTACAGTGGATGTAATCCAGGACTTCTCTTCATAAATGTTTGTGTAAACGGCTGGATTAGCTTTGTTGGCACAACCATAACCCCAGGAAGCCAGACCAACTAACTCACCCTCTGAAACCAATGGACTTCCTGCAATAGCACCACAAGCTTGATCCTTAGAAAGGCCACAGAACATTGAGTCAAAAAGATCTCCATCTTCATAGTTATATTTGCCAGAAACACAATCGTCAGCAGTTATGATGGTTTCAGATATATCTACCAACGTTTTATTGGCACTCCAAATGGTGAGAACGCCAGTGGAACCGGTAACCGGCTGCTTGCTAGGCAATTTAACGTACGTGGCATTTACGGGTTCTGCTAATCTCAAAATGGCCACGTCATTCTCCTGTGTGGCAGGGTCGAATGCAATATTGAACGTATGTCCATTATTGTCGATGTTGATGTCCTGACCGCTACTGACAATACCTACCACCAACTGATCGACGTCGTAGAAAGTCAAACACGTGGCGGCGGTAATAACGGTTCTATTATTGTATAAAGCACCACCACAGATGACGCTTCCATCTTTGCCCTTCACTAAGACGACGTATGACCGGTCGTCGCTAGCATAGATACTACTTGCGGTTGCGATCAACAGCAATAGAGTGCAAATGAACTGGTAGGTCATGTTGAGATTAAGGTCACAAAGATATTTGTATGAGAAGTGCTTAGTGTGAAACCTTCAACTGTGCAACATTTGAGTGTTCGCCTGCTTTTATACCGTTACTCAGCGCTATATCTAGATAAGAGCTAAATTTAAAAAAAAATAGAAAATTATGTTATACTGAGCAAGTTATGGAACACTTGAAAAAATAGTGTCGTATGATTTGAAATGGGTCAATTAGATATTAGCAACAGGGCCGGACCTGAACTGGTGTGGCCCGGGGCCATTTTTTTAAAGAGGAAACGCAAGTTTTAAGAGATGTTTTAAAAGCTAATAAAATGTTTACCTATCATAAGCTTTATCCACAAAAGGAGCACTTTTCGAGATTTTTACACGCAAATCTCTATCAAAACTTAGCACGATCAGATCCATGCTCATTTCATGGCCTAGTTTAAAAGGGCCAAAAAAATAGAGCAAATTTCTTGGGCAACTTAAAATAAAAATACCTAAATCTGGCCTCTAAAACACCAAAATGGCATCACTCGTTTTGATGTTATTAGACAAATGGAGGGATGACAAGTTTAACGTCGCCTCCGAATGGCAAATGGTTTTTATGAGCAGCTTTTTCATGGCTTTTTCCTTGCCTACCGAAGGGCAACTAATACTAGCACAAATTTTTTTTGGGGAGGTTTCTGGGATCGAACATTGATCCTACCGAGTAGAAGTAACCACTTCCAACCACTCGATTATGGCGGCAGAAAGTATAGGAAATCATTTACAATGAGCAAGTTTCTAGTTTAGGTCCGTGGACTTATTTGATAACGTCGTCAAAAAGTATTGAAGAAGTTTGGCCAAACCCTCAGAAAAGTAAATGTGTCCCGGAAATAATAGATATGTTTACATAGTTTTTTTTTTTTGTTAAATCTAATTGCTTTACTTATGCACAAATACCAACTTTTACAAATAGGAATCGAATAACAATCTTATTTGTATTAATTTGTATTCGCGCAAATATTTGTGTCGTGTATTTTGCGCATATTATGACTAGGCATGAGCGACGCCGGCTGCGCATTACTTTCATATACTTCGTGTATACGACAAGGCGACGCACAATGGGACTACAGCGGCCAAAATTAGTAAAAACGGATTAAAAAGTTCTGAAAAAATAATTACGCAGATGCTAAGTAAAATATCCAGATTACCAAAAAAAAAAAATTAAATTCATATTTGCAGTCAAGTAGGAACAATGTGAAAAAATAAATTTGTAAAAAAAAATTTTGATTTTGTTGCAAGTAATTTGAATTAATTTTTCCACTTTTTGAATATATTTGTGGTCAAGCATTGCTTTAAATTTTTATAAATCTTTTTCAAATGTAAATATAAAAAAGTTTACTTTGAAATTCTGCATAATTTTGTGAGTTTACAATTTTCCGAGTGCTTAATTTAAAAAGGTATATTTAAAAAGGACCTAGGATGTGAGCTAAATTATACTTACCAGAAGTAAAAATTAAATATTCGTGTCATATCTCAAATAGTTCCAGCTGCGAGAAACTGCGAGTTCAGCTTCTATTCTTCCTTTTATAGACCCACTCCGTGTAAAATTTATTCAATTTTTATTGTAAAGCTGTAGGGAAAGGCTTTGATATGTACATAAAATAAATAATATGCAATATAAAATGGAAATTGAAGAATGTGTATATATTAATGACTTGCCAATCTATTAATCTTATTCAATATTCAGCTTTTGTTGTATAAAATGTAGGTAAAATTGAAAGTTTCAGTGCAAATACATATCGTGCATATAATTTAGTATGCAGGTATTGTAAACGTTTTCGTTTTGTTATTTTTAAAATGCTGAAATAGGAACTTCTTTACAATTAAAATAAATGTGCCTGTTCATTTTCTCCAAAATTCAAAAAATTTAATATTTGGAGCCAAAAAAGTTGTGTAGGAGGTGGGCGCCGTAATAAGAAATTCTTTATTATCTTCTAAGTTGGAAAAGTTTGGCTTAAACGAGCAGGGAAGACCGAATTTCATCAAAAAAGATTTTTTTTGCTCCTCTTTTTCTAGAACTACTGGAC